GTATAGGCACTGAAGGCAGAAATGGTACAGAATTCTTATAGGTAAAACAAACATAGATCAGGCAGTTACAGATTTTAAAGGCAAAGCACCAAAGTTAATTGCGAATTTAAACTGGGGACTTTTCTGTACTGCACTAACTGGGACTAGACTTCTGGCCCTATAGCTGTAGATTCTGATTAAGGCAACAGAAGTACTCCCAGCCCTTTGGGGAGGTTTCTTAGGATCAAAAGCTCTACAGCAATACTGCCCAACAGAATTCTTTGTGATAATAGGAATCCTGTGTATCAGTTGAGGAACTAAACTTATTAAATAACTACATGTTGGCTAATGCCTACCACATTGTACTGTGTAGGTATATACTTTGTGACTTAGGTGAAATTGACTTAAATGCTTTTAAAGTGTTGTTTGGGGGGGTGTTGTTTTTCTTTTTTGTGTGTGTGTATGTGAATTGGGTTGTGTGTGACATAAGCACACATGTGTACAGGCACACAGAGACAAGAGGAGCACATTGGGTGTCCTTCTCTGTCACTCTCTACTTTATTCCCTTGATAGGGTCCCTCACTGAACCTGGAGCTAGACTGGAGGCCAGCAAGCTCCAGCAGTCTTCCCATCTTTGCCCCTGCAAGTGCTAGGTTCCATGTATATGCAGCTATACACCCAGCTTTCTTTTACATGGGTAACAAGAATTCAAACTCAGGTCCTCATGCTTGCACAGCCAAGCATGCTTACCATTGAGACATCTCCCCAGCCCCTTAAATGCTTTTGAAAAGAAGGAAGAAAATGTTATTGAATATTTATGTTCTGATGTAATATTTATAAGGAAATAACCAATTTTAAGAAATCAATATATTATAATACAATGTAATTGTTTTTCATTAGGGTCATCTTCTATGGCCTCTGCATGTGGTGGAAGTTTAGCATTGATGGATGCAGGTAAAAGAATTATCTCAAAACTGCCAGTACTTCATATCTATATTTCATTAGTACAGGGTTCAAGATTTATTTAGAGTGAATTCAATAAGATTCAAAATCAGATTGTGTATTATCTATATCTACCCAGGCCAGAAGCAAGAGACTTGCATAGTAGAACATCAGAAAGCTATTAGCTGAATTCTATTTTTTCTTTTTTAGACAGGGTCTCCCTGTAGCCCCAGCTGACCTAGAACTCACTATGTAGACCAGGCTGGCCTTGCACTAACAGAGATCTGCCTGCCTCTGCCTCCCAAGTGCTGGGATCAAAGGCAGGTGCCACCACGCCCGGCCTGAATTCTTATTTTTAAGACAGTGGAAATTTACAATACACTGAAAATTATATACCTACCTTGGTGACTCAGTGATCTTTTTCACCTTCTAAAAGTGGAAATTTCAGAAATTATTCCAGTCAACAAAGCAGCTTTGATCAGTAAACAAAAATACAGAACCCATAGTAGAAAGTAACCATGTAATGTTTGCGTCAGTTTATACAAGCCATTGAGAAAGTGGTATTCTAGAAGTATAAAAGAATTTGAGGAAGGTAGAACAAAAGTAGTTTGATACAGTCCATGAGTCTAAAACACTAAAAGAAGGACTACCTTAGGTTTTCAAAAGCAGTTTCTCACGGTTACAGTGGTACTCAAAAAGAAAGGAAAAAGGAAGCTAAAGGCACCTCAGAGGCCACATAAGCTCTCTAAGAAGTTTTTGAATTTACAGATATGAGAGAGAGGATTAACCAAGGTTGAATGGAAGCAGTTGTCTGAGTAAATGCTAATATTCAGAAACACTAAAGCTTTCACAACAGGCCAAAACACAAATGTGCTAATGACATTTTTCTAGTTGTAGTATATTATGATTTTCTGTGGTCTTCATGCATTCACTTTACAAATTTTTACTGTGTGATATCTGTAAATCAGCACTGATCTAAGCTCTTGGGACATATTGGTGAGCACAATAGTCCATTGTCTTCCTGGAGGTTGCACTTCTCAGCCAGGTCTCAAATTGAAAGGAAAAAAAAAAAAATCATGGAAACAGTTAACTGAAAGATTAAAGACTTTTATTTCTCCTCAGACAGGGTCTCATGTAGTATAGGGTGGCCTAGAACTTGCTATGTAACCAAGGCTGGCCTTGAACTCCTAATGTTCCTGCCTGTAACTCCCAAGTGCTTGGATACAGAATATGCCACCATATCCTGCCAAAAGACATCCTAGGACTCTGGGCAAGATCCACGCCTGATAGTGAGGAGAGCTTCTGTGTTAGATTAGTTTACTATACTGGCAGTCATCAGATCTTGAGGTGGATATGCCAGTTCTTGTTTTTGGAAGAGAAGCATTTTCTATAAAATCTAACCCATCAAACTTGACAAGACTCTTCAGTAGCTTATAAAAATAGTGGTATAGCTGGGCATAGTGGCATGTGCCTTTAATCCCAGGTGGATCTCTATAAAATTGAGGCCAGCTTGGGCTACAGGGAGACCACTGTCTCAACAAACAACAGCAAAACAAACCAAAAAACAGTGGTATAGACATATTTTGGAATTGAAAGGATCTACAGAAAGGAGCCAGAAGAGACTAACTAAAAGTAAATCATGTCATAATTCCTCTTTTTGTTGTTGCAGTTTATGAAAAAACTAACTAGATTCAAAGTTGGGTGGAAGAACACTGTTGACACAGTGTATCTAGAATCCATTTTCTTTAAAGACAGGATCTCACTCTGTAACCCTCACTGGCCTGGAACTCACAGATGTTAAAGATCCATCTGCCTCTACCTCCCAGTCACTGGCACTAAAGGCATGCTCCACTATTCCCAGCTTGGAATCCATCTTAACATTATGATATCTTTGTATAGGTGGTACATAAATTCAGACCAGTGATAGATGCACCATTCATGGCTTGTGGAAAGATAAGCCAAGAGGGCTGGTTAATTTGATCAGCAAGTGCGGGTGAGGTTCCAGGTAGAGTACTTAAGGATGCTTCATGCTCATCCTTTCAGTAATAACAATGACCTGCCAATGTAAAGGATACTGATAAAAAGAAGTGGGGCAAGCTGGGCATGTGCCTGTAATCCCAGTGGTTGGGAGGTAGAAGCAGAAGGGTTGCATATTCAAGGCCAGCCTCAGCTGCATAGCCAAGATTCTGTCTCAAGACGAAAGGGGAAAAAAAGGAATGGATTTCTAATGTATTAAATGATAAAAATTTATTTCTAAAAAAAAAAAGCTTAAATAGGATAGAAAACTATAAAGCCAGTTATAAAAATGTTATATTTGATAAGAATGAACATTAAGTATTATGGGAAGGACCAAGAGAGAGTATCCAGTTTTGTTCAAAGAGATGAGTACTTCCTTCATCAGACCTGGGCACTAGAGAGATAAGTAGAACCTGTTTTTCTAAAAGCTTAAAGGTATAAGAAAGAACATAAGATACTAGTAGAGCAAACTGATAATGCAGAGGCCACATAATCGAGTATAATGAACTGGGTTGAGCAACTGACTCAGCACAATATTTTCTCTGGTTTAAAAGTTGAGTAGTTGGGTTTGGATCAGGCATACAAGGAGCTTATATAAGTTCATACGAAAGGAGCAGCCTTTGTAAAATTTCTAAAGTGGCATGGTATGTTTCTAAAACATATTCAAAAGAAGTACTGAAGTAATAAACGGTCCAGATGTTGAAGGCCACTGTTATGCAATGGAGTTTAGATTTGATAGTAGCAATTTCCCAAATCAGTATTCCATAGGATGGGAATGTTGATTAGTGTATATTTTGAAAAAAAAAATTCTTTCCTAAAGTAAACTTGAACAACGCTAAACAGATTTATTTTTTTAGTTTTATGTATTATTTATCTATGGGTTTTAGGTTTTTGTTTATTTTTGGTTTTCGAGACAGTTTTGTGTAGTCCAGACTGGCCTCAGGCTCAGTATGTAGCTGAAGATGACCTTGAGCTCTTGATCCTCTTGCCTTCACACAAGTGCAGCAGTTACAGGTGTGTGTGTGCGCCACCGTGCCCAGCTTAAGCAAGTTTGTTTAATATGGATTAAATAGATTTTAATATGGGATAGAGAGTTGGCTCAGTAGTTAATCACACTGGCTGCTCTTGCAGGGGACCCAGGTTCGATTCCCAGCACCTACATGGCAGCTAACAACCGTCTGCAACTCCAGTTCTAGGGGAACCTGACGCCCTCTTCTGACCTCCGCAGGCAATGCATGACACAGGTGCACTTTCATATATGCAGGCAATGTACTCATACACATAAAATTAAAAATAATAAATAAAATATTTTTTAAATGGATTTTAATATGCTATTAAAATAATACCAGTGCTAAAGCTCTAGGAACAATATACACTATGTCATACTAAACATTTTTGAGTCATAGAATATATATATAAAAATCTCAATGATAACTCAAGGTACAGTGCTTGTTTAGCATGTAGGAACATTTGCTTAGCATTCCCATCAGCACAAACAGACAATCTGAAAGCAGATCATGGAGAATTTTAAGAATTTTATGTTTCATTTAGCTAGATTTGATTTGGATAGAGCTCTCCAGAAAGCTGTTTGGTTAAGCAGATCCAGACTTGGCATAGTGATCCAGATAGAAGGGACAGTGAAGTCATCATCATTGTTGCTAAAACCATGAGTATAGGTAAGATAGCTAAGAGAGAATGACTGAGCCGTCTATCACATTACTTTATTCTGAACTTAAAATGATTGACCATTTTTACTTTTCAATGAGCAAAGATCAAAAGTCTTAATAAGAATTAACAAGAAAGCTGCGTATGGTGATACATACCTGTAATCCCAGCACTTGGGAGGCTAAGGCAGGAAGATTGTGAGTTTGAGGCCCCCTTAAGCTATATAGTGAAATCTTGTCTCAAAAAACAGGGGGAAATATATATATATATACTTTTTTATGTGCTTATATATTTATTACATATAAATATGTATGAGGAGTAATATACAGTCATTAAAGTAGAACTTTATGTGGTGATATATATCAATATCTCTAGTATGTTACTAAATAAAGGCTGGCTTACTTTTGCAGCACATACACAAAAATTGGAATCCTACAGAGAAGATTAGCATGGCCGTTGTGCAAGAAGGACATGCAAATTCATAAGGCGTTCCATATTTTTAAAAAAAGGGAGGGTGATGGTGCACACTTTAAATCCCAGCACTCAGGAGGCAGAGGCAGGCAGATCTCTGTGAGATTTAGGCCAGCCTGATCTACATAATGAGTTCTAGGCAGACCTGGGCTACATAGCAAGACCCTGTCTGAAAAAAAAAACAGAAAAAGGCAAAGTACCAGATAATGAATGCATATAGCATGCTCCCCACAAATATTCTTAAGATTATATTTAGATTTATAGCTGTACACAGACATTTTCTGAAAGGCTGACTGCCATGGGGAAGGGAACCAAAAGGTCCAGGCTGGAAAATCCACCAAATTTATGGCTAGAAAAGGACAACAAAAGTAAAACAGAATAATAGATAACTTTACCGTTTGCTATTCTTGGGATTTTGCCAAATAGAGTTATTACCTATTAACCTTTTGCTTTAAGGGGCATTATTACAGGTTCATAAAGAAATGTTGTCAAAGGACCTTTTTTTATTATTATTATTTGTATTTTATGTGTAAGAATGTTATGTTCGAGGCCAGCCTGGTCTACATAGCGAGTTCCAGGTCAGCTGGGGCTACAGGGAGACCCTGTCTCAAAAAGACACCCCCCCGAAAAAAAAAATGTTATACCTACATGTGTATAAGTGCACCCGTGTCATGCAGTGCCCACGGAGGACAGAATTGGGTGTTGGATCTCTTGGAACTGGAGTTATAGATGGTTGTTAGCTACCATGTGGGTGCTGGGATTTGAAGCCAAGTTTTCTGCTCTTACCCGCCAAGCAATCTCTCCAGCGCCATCAAAGGAACTTTTAAGACCTCTCCAAATCAACTTTGGTGATTGTCATTGTGTCTCCTTGTTAAAGTAAATGTCAGCAGAATGATACTATATTTTAGGCTATTACACAATACACAAAATTTGTTCTTTTTAATTATAGGAGTCCCAATTTCATCTGCTGTCGCAGGTGTAGCAGTAGGATTGGTCACCAAAAACAATCCAGAGAAAGGTGAAATAGAAGATTATCGTTTGCTAACAGACATCCTGGCAAGTATATTCCCAGTCTCAAGTGTATAGTGGTGAAGAATACACATATTTTACAAGTATATTTGGAAGTATATGCTTAGGCCAAGCCTGGTGGCACACACTTGTATTCCCAGTACTCAGAAGGCTGAGGTGGGAAGTTTGCCACACCCAGCAACCTAAGCCGTATAGCAAGATCCTGCCTATATGTCTATAATCAAAGAAGAGCCATGCTAATCTATTTGTTTAGAAGAGTGCCAGTGCTAGAACTGCGGTAGTTATTTCCTCCTTTGTTTACCTTGGGCTTTAAAAGGAGTTAAAAAGTTTATATTACTATATACTATACTATATACTAATATACATACTTATCCAGGATGGCTCCCTTTAGTATAATTCACAGAGCCTCACTATATAGCCCTAGCTGGCCTAGAACTTGCTATGTAGACCAGGCTGGCCTTGAACTCACAGAGCTCCACCTGCCTCTGCCTCTCCTTTCGGTTCATTCTAAATTCTTATGCATTTATTAGAAACAGGCATGAGGTAAAAACATACAGTAGTGTTTCTGATGAAAGGATTTGTGGAGTTATAGTCAGGAATTGGAAGCAACAGCTAAGCAGCAGAGATGCTTCTTTGCATTTGGTGTTAGAGGACATGGCTTACCTTTAAAGCAATGGTTTGAAATTCTGTAGTGACTGTGGACAAGTTGTGATTTTGTTTAAAACTTTATTATAATTTTTTTAATTGCTAAAGGGAATTGAAGATTACAATGGTGACATGGATTTCAAAATAGCCGGTACAAATAAAGGAATAACTGCATTACAGGTATTTTTTAAACCACCTTTTCCATTATTGTAATTTTTAAATAATGACATGAACTACCGTTTATTTATGTACTTAAGGCTCTTTCTTATTAGGCTGATATTAAATTACCTGGAATCCCAATTAAAATTGTAATGGAGGCCATTCAACAAGCATCAGGTAAGTCAGTGTGCCTGATTCTCCTCATTTCTGTCTCATATGTGAATGGGACTATAATTCCCATTAGACTTACTATAAAATTTGCTTTCCAGAATGGAATTTCATGTGGCTAGGCGTATAGCTGATTGGTAGAATGAATGCTTGCCTATCACATACAAGGAATTGATTTACAGCCCCAGCACCATCTAAACATGTGGGGCAGGGGGAGCAGTGATCAAGAAGTACTAATCATTGTGCATATGACTACCCAGTCAAAACAATACTGAACTTTTAATTTTTACAAATTAAGCAACTTTCTAAGACAGCGTTTTCAGAGATGAGAATGAGTCAGTTTTTAAGATAATTGGAATGTGAAAAACTTTGATTAGTAAGCTAGAATTTCAATTTTGCACCAGAGAAACTGAGTGTAGCTGTTTCAGATCATATTTATTGTACGTAGATGTAATTTTGATTCTGTTGCTATTTCTTCTAGTGGCAAAGAAGGAGATACTACAGATAATGAACAAAGCAATTTCAAAACCTCGAGCATCTAGAAAAGAAAATGGACCAGTTGTAGGTAATGTATTAAAATTATTGCTGATACCATGATAAACATTAACGTGTAAAAGTGTAGTTTTATCTTAATACAAAATAAAAATACTTAACTATTTTAGTTGCTAAGTACTTTAGAAGAAAATGTTTTTTCTGCATTTATTCACTTATTTGTGTGTGGGTGTATGTCATGGCATAAGTTGGTGGTCAGACCCAACTTGTGGGAGAGTTGGCTCTCTGTCCTTCCACCATGTGGGTCTCAAGGATTGAACTCAAGTTGTCAGGCTTGGCAGCAAGTGCCTTTACCCACTGAGCCATCTCATTGGTTCCCTAAAAGAAAATTTTTTTTTTTTGTCTTTTTGAGACAGAGTCTCCCTGTAGCCCCAGCTGTCCTGGAACTCACTATGTAGACCAGGCAATGTTCTCACCATGAAGAAATATAAATGTTTGAAGAGACAGATACTTACTCTTCAGTTAAACATTATACTATATATAAGTATCAAAATGTATCTTATAAATACATAAATTTTTTGTGTTCTTGTAGGTCATTTTAAGAATAAATTTAAATTGAAAGAAAACTAAAGAAAAAGTTTGAGACATTTTGTAAAATTTATTTTTATGTGTATTAGTGTTTTGCCTGCATGTAAGCTCACCCATGGTTGTACAAAGCCCAAGGAGGCCAGAAGAGGGTGTCGGATCCCCTGGAACTGTAGCTATGGATGGTTGTTAGCAGCTATGTGGGTGCTGGGGACTGAACCCGGGTCCTCTGCAAGAGCAGCCAGTGAGTGCTCTTAACCACTGAGCCATCTCATCAACCCCAAGAGGATATTCTTGTACATTTTTCAGTAATTTTAATTACAACAAATTTCTTCTGTAGTGAAAGATTTTTACATGTGTTTAGGTTCAGGTATGTCTGAATTATTTACATATTTGTTTACTTATTTCAGAAACTCTTCAGGTTCCATTATCAAAACGAGCAAAATTTGTTGGGCCAGGTGGATACCACTTAAAAAAACTTCAGGCAGAAACAGGTAAGAGTTATGTCAAGTTTGAGGGCTTTATTAAACGTTAAACGATGTAAGTTTACTATTTCATCTCTACTGTGTTGCTCCAAAAATAGTATTTGAGAAATAAGACAATAGAAAAGTATAAGATCTCTCTACTGTGAGTTTCTGTTGGCCTCTTTATAAGTCAACAAATGATAATCCACTGTACTCAATAAGGATGAGGCAGAGTTGGTGGTGCCTTCCTGGAATCCCAAGCACTTGGAAGGATGAGGCAGGAAGATGATGCATCTCTGATGACAGCCTGGGCTTCATACATAGCAAGACCCTGTCTCAAAGAAAAGGAAAAAGAGAAAGAAGGACGAACAAAAATCTGTCATAGTCTTTCACATCTAAAATTGAACATTTCCAAATGATTTTTGGATTTTCACTTAAGAGAAATTGTGCTTTAATTATTTTCCACTCATATCTACTACTTGGACTTATGTCATTTAGGTTCTTTTGTTGAAAGAGTATGCTTTCATTTGTTTCTTCTGGAAGCAGTGTTTAGATTGCCTACTAATTAATCATTTTGAGGTTGTTAAATGACAGCAAGGAATAGAAGTTGCTTTAACCAGTAGTTAAAAGTGAAAAACTGGCAGGATTTTGTACCTTATTCATTTGTTTATTCTAAAGGATAATAATAATAATAATACAAAGATGAGGAAAGTGTTCTAGTACAGTTTCTAGTCATAATTAAGGGAACAAAAACAAGGCCTTAAAAATGATCCCTGCTATGCCAGGACTGTCACAGCCACTGTTCCATACACAGGACCAACTAAAATGCCAGATGCCTGGCAGGAGTGCAGTGTGTGCTGCTTGGTGAATGAATCCTTTCACTTACGGACCATGATTAGGCAGAGGATAACCCAACCCAGCTGCTTCAAGGCCCCTCTTCCCGCCCCATTCTCACATTCACTGTTTAGACTAGTCACCTGACATGGGTGTGTTAACTGTGGTAAATTATCTCTTTATTTTGTCATCCCCTACCCCCTCACCATGGTGCTGGGGTTTATTTCAAAGGTATAACAATTAGTCAAGTGGATGAAGAAACATATTCTATATTTGCACCAACACCCAGTGCGATGCATGAGGCAAGAGACTTCATTACTGAAATATGGAAAGATGACGTAAGTATAGATCTTATAGTGGTTTTTCTTTCTTTTTTTTCTGTTATGTTTTTGAACTTAATGGTTTATTTTGCACTTTACAGCAAGAACAGCAGTTAGAATTTGGAGCAGTTTATACCGCTACAATAACTGAAATCAGGTAATAACGAGTAAACACTCTATTAGTTTTTAAAAACACTTTGTATTACAGACCCAGGTTAACTTTATATTTGCTTTGTTTGCTTTAAAATTATAAAATGTTGAGCTAGGCCTGGTGGTGCACACCTTTAGTCCCAGCACTTAGCAGGCAGAGGCAGGCGGCTATCTGTGAGTTTGA